GGCCGCAGCAGGGCCTAAGGTGGAAGAGCCAAAATCCTGCATGGTTGTCAGTGTTGTAGGAGACGACCTAACCTTGCAGCCCTTATGGTCCCAAGACCGTCGTGAACCGGTCTTGACTCGATCAGCATACAAAGCTTGAGCTCAGTCGGGGCATGTCGAACCCCTGCTGACCAACCTGTTGCACCCAATCTGGCAGGTTCGCGAGACCCCGACTGCGCAAGAGATCAATCTCCCTGAAGAAACAGTCTGCTTGATGGTTGTTGAGGAGCCCAACGACGATCAAGAAGACCATATGAATCGGTTCAAGGATATGATGCGTAGGATGATGGAGAAGATCGAGTTGATGAAAAGTACCCGGCTCCCTGAGAACTCATCTCACCAAGGGGCCAATCATCCTCATCTAGCTGATCCGTTCCTGAGGCAGTCATTACCTTCACATGACCATTTTTCCCCTCATCAAGTCTCATAAGTTGACATCGATGTTATGGTCACCCACAGCTTGTGGGGTAGGAAAATTCCAGGCATGCAAGCTACAACCCTTTATCAGATGTCCTATCCCTCCTACATTGATCAACTCCCATTTCCCCCAGATTGCTAAAAGGGGAGACTCCTGCTCTTCAATGGTATGAGTTCGCCTTACCAGCATATTGCCCATTTGTCACGACCCCACCCTCTGACCCCTACACGGCTCGCCGGAGGGTAAAAGGCTGCAGGATTGCGATCACAGAGGTTGCGAACGCCACTCAGGTGGGAGTAAGCTCAACGCATTTGAAAAGAAGAAAATCAGAGCAAACCACGAAAGAAAGCATAAACTGCAACTAGAAACACAACAAAAGCTGGATAAATTAAAACCATTCATATTCATAAGTATTCTCCAAGAGTCATATACAATATCCAGCATATTACAATTCATCCAAGGCACTACATGCCCATAACAAAAATACAAAGCTTCACAACCAACAACAACACGGCCGACGATCACCTGACACCTACAAAACAAAGAGGTCTTCTCGTTGGGCATGGGCCTTCAATTTGCCACTCATGATCGCCGCTTTTTCCGTCTTCGACCTGCAGCAGTCAATCTACAAGGAAGGAAGCAAAGGAATGAGCTAAGAAGCCCAGTAAGTAGATCACAATATCATGCTTTCCTGCCTATGAGTAATATCTCACAACAATATTTAGGCTCTATACCATCCTCATAAGACATGAGTCATGTAACACAATCACACCACAATTATAGAATGATTATTTTCAAGGAGGAGCAATCATAATTCAGATCTCAGATATCATATGCCTGAGAAATCTATCCAAATCTCAACAACTCAACATAATACAACAGATCAAAACCATCAGTAGAACATAACAAACTCAACAGATACTAACACACCCTCTAGCTCTATCAACCAGGCCAATCACAAAGCTCAAGCCGGTCACATAACTAAGGTCAACCACCTACCTCAAGCCAGTTACATATCCCAGGCAATACATTATGCACAAAGCATGTCGGGAAGTCACATATCACCTCGAGCACATCTCATTAGTGTCAATCATGGCCATGTAATAGGCTCAGAGCATGCCAATCAGTCACACATCTCAGGCAATGCAATACGCTCAAAGTACGCTGAGAAAATCATACATCTCATATTACCAGAGATATCACCATGTCAATAGCCGGCCATGCAATGCGCTCAAAGCATGCCAGTTAATTACTTATCATCTCATAGTCATGCAATACGCTCAAAGCATGCCAATCAATCACATTTCACATTATGGCTATGTAATATCCTCAAAGTAGGCCAGTCAGTCGTACATCTCAGGCAATGCATACGCTCAAAGCACGTCGAGAAAATCATACATCTCATATTACCAAAGATACCACCATGTCAATAGCCGGCCATGAAATATGCTCAAAGAAGGCTAGTTAATCACTTATCATCTCATGGTCATGCAATACGCCCAAAGCATGCCAATTAGTCATATTTCATAGTATGGACATGCAAATGTCAGACAAGTCAGTCACACATATCTGGCAATGCAATACGCTCAAAGCACACCAAGAAAATCATACATCTCATATTATCAGAGATATCACCATGTCAATAGTCAGCCATGCAATGTGCTCAAAGCAGGTCAATTAATCACTTATCACATACTATATCTCATCTGTCACATAGCTGACCACACAGGTCTTATCACCTAGAACTCATCACAAGTATATCATACCACATCACTCTATCAATGGATGACCCATTGCATAGTACTTCATATCATATCTGCATCGTGACTTAGATCATAAGCATTCACTATTTCACTACCCTTGCTATTTCATTAGCATTCACGATTTCAGGGGATTCACTATTTGAGTCCATTCTCTGCTTCATGAAATTCGCTATTTCATAGCATTCACTATGTCATGACATTCACTATTGCATAGCATTCACTAATTCACAACATCCACTAATTCACATGTGATTGTCTCACAGAAAATGGACTTAGCTTTTGGTTTATATAGAATCTCAACTTAGTCACAAAACAATAATTGAAGTAGACACAATTATCTCTCATTGAAAAGAAGTTAGGAGTCAATTGACTACTGTTTGGTTCGTCAACACATGGGCAAAACATAAACAATAACTCTGGAGTTGTCTGTATTTTATTAACAATGACCTGTCCCTCTTAATAGAGGCATAACTCCCAAATCATGAGGAATTGTGGGATGATTACAAAGGAAACCTTCAAGTAGAAACACCTATCTTTCTAACAAAGGTAATTTGAAAGCATTTGGCCCTCAATTGTTTAGGTAAAATATCAGTACAACAGAAATAACATTTCTGGAATGTATTACAGTTTACTAACAGTGGTATACATGCACAAATTGAAGCATAACTTCCAGATTATAAAGAATATGAACTGGAATTAAACACAAAAATAAAATTAAACACATGTATTTTTCAAATGGAAGTGTTTTGGTGTCATTTGGATGTCATTTGATAAGCCAATAAAGTGATACAAAAACATCAAACCTTCCTGGAATTTCACAGCACAGCCATGACACACTTCAAAGATCACTTCATAACTTCTAATCTATACTAGGTAACAACATGAAACCTTTTTTAATCTTAAACTAGACTCATAGGACCATAATTTTACAGATTTTAGGATCAACAAGAGTGATAACAACGCGATACTCATCATACAAGGAAGACTGAATTTCTGGAAAATAGGACACAAATCATACATGCACCCAATTCCTTCACACAACTTCTATACAAAATCATGCTTAAATTCGTGCTTTCACACTATGGACACATGAGAGTATGATCTACTTACCTTGTGTGTGAAATCGTGCTCTTACAATCCCTCGCACAGACACTACAAGCTTCTTACAGTGGTTCTTCAATGGAGCAATAGTGGGCTCTGTGTTGGGCTCTAGAGAGAGAGAGAGAGAGAGAGAGAGAGTGAGAGAGAGAGAGAGAGAGAGAGAGAGAGAGAGAGAGAGAGAGAGAGAGAGAGAGAGAGAGAGGAGAGAGTAGTAGTAGAGTAGTACGAGTACGACGTAGTACGTAGTACGTACGTACGTACGACGACGTACGACGTAACGACGTACGACGTAGG